TAAAAATCGACAAAATCTTCCGTACATGTTAAAAAAGAGAGAAAAGTTATTTGCAACTGAAAAAAGACAGAAACAAAGAAAAAAAAATTTCAACGCCCACAGCGGGATTCGAACCCTCGACAGTGGGACAAAGTTTGGTTTGGTCATATCTTTTCAATAGATGCACGCATCAAGATACTTAATACATATTTAGAATTCTCATAATACACACTATAATCCCTGTAAATACTAAAGAAAAATATTGAAAAACAAAAAAGTTGAGAAATGTGACTTTTTTAATTTACTTCCGTGTGCGACCGGAAGTGCCGACGACGAAAAATAAAGGCCGTTGCCCAGAATAGAGTTGGACGTTCTATCACCTCAGTGAGTTTTACTTTCATATCTTTAGCCGTTCTCGAGAAAACTGCTGGACAAAATGCCTTTTAAAAAATACAAAAATCCCCCAAAATCGCGAACGGAAGTGAATTTCGAAAAAATGAAAAACACGTCTGGAGATATTCTCATGATGCATCTTCCCTGAGAAAATCTTTGAAATCTGTCCACGCATAGCTGAGATATCGGCTGTACTATGAAAATAGAATAATAATAATAACTAGATGCGTTCTTGTTGCTGGGGCAACAAGCAGGTCTTCCGACCGATTTTCGTTAGAATTCTATGCTGCGTCATTCCATGAAATTTCAGAATGTATTTTTTCGTTTACGTTCATTTACAGCAGCCTCTAAACATATCTCATAATTATTACAGGTATTCCTCAAAATATCTCAAAAATATCTTTTAAAAATCGACAAAATCTTCCGTACATGTTAAAAAAGAGAGAAAAGTTATTTGCAACTGAAAAAAGACAGAAACAAAGAAAAAAAAATTTCAACGCCCACAGCGGGATTCGAACCCTCGACAGTGGGACAAAGTTTGGTTTGGTCATATCTTTTCAATAGATGCACGCATCAAGATACTAAATACATATTTAGAATTCTCATAATACACACTATAATCCCTGTAAATACTAAAGAAAAATATTGAAAAACAAAAAAGTTGAGAAATGTGACTTTTTTAATTTACTTCCGTGTGCGACCGGAAGTGCCGACGACGAAAAATAAAGGCCGTTGCCCAGAATAGAGTTGGACGTTCTATCACCTCAGTGAGTTTTACTTTCATATCTTTAGCCGTTCTCGAGAAAACTGCTGGACAAAATGCCTTTTAAAAAATACAAAAATCCCCCAAAATCGCGAACGGAAGTGAATTTCGAAAAAATGAAAAACACGTCTGGAGATATTCTCATGATGCATCTTCCCTGAGAAAATCTTTGAAATCTGTCCACGCATAGCTGAGATATCGGCTGTACTATGAAAATAGAATAATAATAATAATAATAAAAAACAGAAGGAAAACAATAAGGTCTTCCGAAGGAAGTCGGAAGACCTTAATAATAAAAAACAGAAGGAAAACAATAAGGTCTTCCGAAGGAAGTCGGAAGACCTTAATAAGAAACAGAGTAAAAACAATATGTTCCCCAACTTCGTTTGGGGAACATAACTAGAGATTGAGATTGTTCTCTTTTTTATACATGTACCTATAGCTTGTAAAAAAGATACATGTATTTTGACTTGTCAGGTCTTTTTTTTTTGACTTGTCAGAAAAATAAACTGTCAGCTGATGGCATAAACATGGCATGAAAAACTTGTAAAACACCTACGTATAGACAAATCTAAATAATTACATCATAAAGATACAGAAAAAGGTTTAAAAAAATATAAGCCTTTGTGCAAAATAGAGATCTTTTCAATACACTAACATACATGTCATTATTTCATAACTAAAAAGAATTAAATACACTGAAAGAAACGTGCATAGCATCTTGATAGTAACTACAGAACCCAGATAGTAACTACAGAACCCAACCATTTCTTACACAAAAATATAAGAACAACAAAGTCATTAAAATACAGACTTGACAGGTTAAATCCATACAACATCCACCATAAAATTCTTACAAATATTGTTCATTATTGTTATAATTTATATTTCATCAAAATATTTATATTTCATCAAAAAGTAAAATAAATGGAAGCTGGTATAAAATCAACTACAAGCAAAACAAGACTAAGAATCATTCCCCTTTTACAAAGTAAAGGAAAAACTAGTAACAACAGACGATTAATTAACTTAATCAAAATTATAAATAATTCTATAACATTTAATTATCACTTTGCTACCTCACAAAGCATGAAGTAGAGATGAATACCAACCAAAACATTTTACATATACCTGTTATGTTGAAAAATATCAGAATACAACATAAAAATTTTCAGAAAACTAGAAATATGTCCATAGGACATGAATGCCCCGCCGAGGATATATTAGTAAAGCAACATGAAAATTCGTATGTGTATAAAATTTGATCAGTTTGGTTCAGGTAGGGCTTATAGTTACTAGGGAATAAAAATGTAAGTCAGATCCAGCATCCGAAGCAAGTCTGGTAGTGTCCATCCCTACATGCATCATCCATGCAAGTTTGGTTCAGGCAGGGCTTATAGTTACTTGGGAATGAAAATGTTGGTCAGATTCAGCATCCGAAGCAAGTCTGGTAGTGTCAATCCCTAGATGCATCATCCATGCAAGTTTGGTTCAGGAAGGCTTATAGTTACTTGGGAATGAAAATATAGGTCAGATCCAGCATCCGAAGCAAGTCTGGTAGTTTCCATCCCTAGATGCATCATCCATGCAAGTTTGGTTCAGGCAGGGCTTATAGTTACTTGGGAATGAAAATATAGGTCAGATCCAGCATCCGAAGCAAGTCTGGTAGTGTCCATCCCTACATGCATCATCCATGCAAATTTGGTTCAGGCAGGGCTTATAGTTACTTGGGAATGAAAATATAGGTCAGATCCAGCATCCGAAGCAAGTCTGGAAGTGTCCATCCCTACATGCATCATCCATGCAAGTTTGGTTCAGGCAGGGCTTATAGTTACTTGGGAATGAAAATTTAGGTCAGATCCAGCATCCGAAGCAAGTCTGGTAGTGTCCATCCCTACATGCATCATCCATGCAAGTTTGGTTCAGGCAGGGCTTATAGTTACTTGGGAATGAAAATGTTGGTCAGATTCAGCATCCGAAGCAAGTCTGGTAGTGTCAATCCCTAGATGCATCATCCATGCAAGTTTGGTTCAGGAAGGGCTTATAGTTACTTGGGAATGAAAATATAGGTCAGATCCAGCATCCGAAGCAAGTCTGGTAGTTTCCATCCCTAGATGCATCATCCATGCAAGTTTGGTTCAGGCAGGGCTTATAGTTACTTGGGAATGAAAATATAGGTCAGATCCAGCATCCGAAGCAAGTCTGGTAGTGTCCATCCCTACATGCATCATCCATGCAAGTTTGGTTCAGGCAGGGCTTATAGTTACTTGGGAATGAAAATATAGGTCAGATCCAGCATCCGAAGCAAGTCTGGAAGTGTCCATCCCTATATGCATCATCCATGCAAGTTTGGTTCAGGCAGGGCTTATAGTTACTTGGGAATGAAAATTTAGGTCAGATCCAGCATCCGAAGCAAGTCTGGTAGTGTCCATCCCTAGATGCATCATCCATGCAAGTTTGGTTCAGGCAGGGCTCATAGTTTCTTGGGAATGAAAATATAGGTCAGATCCAGCATCCGAAGCAAGTCTGGTAGTGTCCATCCCTACATGCATCATCCATGCAAGTTTGGTTCAGGTAGGGCTTATAGTTACTTGGGAATGAAAATGTAGGTCAGATTCAGCATCCGAAGCAAGTCTGGTAGAGTCCATCTCTATATGCATCATCCATGCAAGTTTGGTTTGGGTAGGGCTTATAGTTCCTTAGGAATGGACCTGCTCCAAAAACTTTAACCTAGTCACTCAATGGAAAAATGTAGGTCAGATCCAGCATCCGAAGCAAGTATGATAGTGTTCATCCCTAGATGCATCATCCGTGCAAGTTTGTATCAACATGTGAGTTGGATAACACAATCTTGAATGGTATGTTCAAATCTGAGCTAAACACTAATTTAAGAAAAGTGAGGTCAAGGTCAAAGGAAAGGTCAGGGTCAAAAAATGTTGATGCAGTTGCATAGCTCTCATCAATATCTATCAGCATATGAAGTTTGATGGAAATATCTTGGATAGTTTCTTTGAAACTTAGCTTTGAACAGAGCTAAACACAAAGTGTGACCGAAGACGGAAGGACGGAAGGAAGGAAGACGGACATGACAAACACTATATGCCCCGGCCATATTCATGGCGGGGCATAAAAAATAAGATAATATTATATTTATCTTACTACAGGTATTTTCTGTGACCTATAATAACACGAGCAAGGTAAAAAGGCTAAACAACTTTCATAAGAATATAAATATTTTTTTGAAAGTACTAGAAAAGGCATTTTAGCAAGTGGGATTTTTATTCTTTTTCATCACGTTTTGCTCCACTCTAGAGGAATGATCACATTATTTTGAATTTCATATCAGATCATTCATGTATAACTAAAAGCAACTAAAAGCTAAAAGTTTATCTAATACATGTACATGTTTTAAATACATAACATTGTCATTAAGCCTTGTAGGTTTATCTGAAACAAGTAAACCACATATGGTCGTCATTAAACCTAGTAGGTATACCCGAAACAAGTAAACCACATAAGTTTTTCATTAAACCTAATAGATATACCCGGTACCTGAAACAAGTAAACCCGTAAGGTCGTCATTAAACCTAGTAGGTATATCCGAAACAAGTAAACCACATAAGGTCGTCATTAAACCTAGTAGGTATACCCGGTACCTGAAACAAGTAAACCACATAAGGTCGTCATTAAACCTAGTAGGTATACCCAAAACAAGTAAACCACATAAGTTTTTCATTAAACCTAATAGGTATACCCGGTATCTGAAACAAGTAAACCACATAAGGTCGTCATTAAACCTAGTAGGTATACCCAAAACAAGTAAACCACATAAGTTTTTCATTAAACCTAATAGGTATATCCGGTACCTGAAACAAGTAAACCACATAAGGTCGTCATTAAACCTAGTAGGTATAAGCGAAACAAGTAATCCACATAAGGTTGTCATTGAGTTAAGGTGAGCTTAATTCTGTGTCTTTCTCAATCAGTGCTTTAATTCTCATTTACGAAGATCCATCCCCTAATCTGGCCCCATATTTGGCAGAGACGTTCACTCTAAGAAATCAAAAACAATATCATGTTAATTCCTTTAGTTATAACATTTCTGATCATACAGATTTTTTCCACAGGTACATGTATACTGTGGAATAATCAATGTTTGTGAGAGACCAATGTTTATGAATATCTTGGATCTTCCTTATCCACGAAATTTACATCTCCATGAAAAATTATTTTAAAAACATATTTATTGAACTTTACATAATTACAGAAGTTATCAATTAAAGTAGGACCCAATGCACCAACAAAATTTTGCCAGCCCTTGTACACTGACACCTTGAAGTAAATTGAATGATTTTACAGTAGTATTACTCTTATTTTTGAAATCTTTCTTAATTAAATAACCATTGTAAATAAGCAATGTAAAACTGTTAAAAGTGAATTCTTCATTTCCAAGACCACATTTAGATGATAAATTTCTAGAGACAAAAACAAGATATTGCCACACAAAATATTGAGACATTGCTAAGATTGTTAACAATACAGAAGAAAAAATAAATCATATTGACTGTTCTGTTCTCATAAAAAGTCTATTTGCATGTTAACTTCAAAATGTTTCAAAAGTATTAATCCAACAAAGTTTTTATATTCATATGACTAATCATGGCTTTGTTGTCCTTTAAAAGAAAATAAAGATATTTCTTAAACATACTAGTATTCCTAGTATATATTTAAGGAATGTTTTTAAGTTTATACATGTAATGGCTTTTCTGTTCTTAAGACTTTTCCTAAATGTTTTCAATAATCTGTAAATTTTGATTGTTACTCTGCCCATAATTATATAAAGTTAATTATAATTACAATGTACATATTAAAGTTGTACAACATCTTACCTGGATATGTATATAGCCTGATCTGTGCAGAAAGAACAGTGCCACAACAATGATCACAGCCAATACAACTATAGCTACAGTAACAATGGCAGCAATGTGTCCACCACTCAGCCTAAAGAAGAGAGTTTGGACAGTCTATTGTTAAAAGGACTAAAATATACTATCTCAAAATCACTATAATCTTAAAAAAAAAAAACTGTTCAACTCAAATTTTATCCTAAATAGATTTCAATTAAGAGAAAATGTGGGTGATTAAATTTTTTTTACAACAGAATAATATGAATAAATCAAAAGAAGGTATACAAAGCATCAACAGTAGCATCAATATAATTATACATGTATATACTTTGGAACTGTAGCTAGAACCTTCTTTTTTTTTTAAAATTTAAAAGACAATTTTATCAAATACTTGAATTTTATAATGCTAAGAATGTTATAATCTATTTTAATTGATAAAGATGATTTTGATGTTACGATACGAAATCTGCCAACTACATTAGTAAGTACTAATATTATATTAGGGTTTCTATATTGAGTAGCACTCCATTCCTCTAAAGTAATGGGTCCAAGGTCCCAAACATGCTGAGGTAGAGTTCTCTGAGTAAACTGACACACTTAAAATCAACTGTTTTATATGCTTGTAATTATTGCTGGTGAATATATGCAGTGAAAAAAATATTTCAATAATTTTTAATAATTTTAAAAATTATTTAACATGTAAGTAGAATTTAAATTTATATTAAGATAGATTTTGCCAAATAAAGTGTTTTGACATTATTTTCCACAATCTTTAAAAATTTTTGGTTTTCTTTCTTGGGTCTGGAATTTAATTCCCTGATGAAATAAGATTTTTTCAAACTATAAAATGAAAATATCAAGAAAACCAAACTGACTCATGAAATAAACTCCACATTGAATTACATGTTAAACAAAAAAAATCCTTTAAATATTACAAACTCTAATTGGTTGCAAAAATGGGTAATCATTGACTTCAACAGAGTAATACCATGAAACCCCAGTGTTTCCTTGGAAAAAAATCACAATGTTTAAAGAAATTTCAGACTTTCATGTGAAACATACCCTTTTTCATCTCTCCCAGCAGAATAAGAGGTGGCATTAGAGGAACTAGTTGCTGGTGTTGACTCATCCATTTCCAGTTTTACACACTGGGGGTCTAGGAAAAACAAAGACAAAAAGGAGTTATATAATTATTAAGCCAAAAGGCCACGATATAAACCATTGTGTCATGAATTCTGTTTATTATTAGACCAATCCGATCCAGACAGTGAAATTTTACAAATTGAGCAGTTAAACTGTTGGCATGATCATTCTGGAAAGAAGTGTACAAATGTAAATATGAGTGTTTAGTGAAAATTTCATAAATTTTTATGGTTTCTGCAAAAGATCTATTCCTAGCCCTTAATTTTCTGATCTGTGATAAATTCTGTATATTTTACAAAACTTAAATTGTACAATTTGTATTACATGTATGCATAATGAAAGTTTTCAATCTGTACATTTTGACAAAATCAAAAACTGACACTCAGAATCATGATTGCTAATATATAATTAGTATAGTTAACTTTTAAAATCAGACCAAACCTGTTGGAAAAGTACAGTCAATGGGCAATAGTGTTTGTCATTTTCATTGGCATTGTGTTCATTGTGATGCATCTTTCAAAATACAAATTTGTATGCATATGTGGTTTTTAAAGAAAAACAAATTAGAGAACCTGATCCGCAAAATATATTTTACTTTTTACTTTTAAAATTATTGTTAACCTACTGTCTTGTTAATTAATGCCGCAAAAAATGTCAGGCTTCGGGGCCACCAACCCTTTGATTTTCTCAAATCTGAGATTTCTCAAAAAATCCGAGTTTTTCTCACCAAACTGTGCCACCAAACATACGAGTATGTATATTAGTATATATTTTATCAAACTCAGACTTATCTTTTGAGTTTTTTCTCAAATCTGAGATTTGAGGCAGAGTTTTGAGCTGAGATTTTTATAGGTTGGTGGCCCAGAAGCAAGTTCTGTATACATATAGTGATTACTGGTACATAAATCAAATACCATAGGTTAAAGGCTCCTGTGGTAATTAACACTTACATTTTTCGACGTCGCGTTTGTAATAGTCAGAGCAGTTCACACATTGAGAATGACTGTCAAGCTGAACTATTGGAAAGGTTGATCCATTGCTGGTTGCCAGTGTAAAGACCGGACAGAAATCTGAAGAAAAAAGGGGTTCAACTTCATAAGCCACATGGCTAACCTGAGCACAATAGCTGATAAAAAAGCACAAAAAAGTCAAGTATTGAAAAATTAACAGAGAGAAACTTGAATTTCTCATTCCCCTTTGAGGATGCTTTCATTGATAAAAACGGCTTTGCTGTTCTTGAGCAGCATACTTATTTAAAGATTTTGTCTGTTTAATTCCTTACTAACACTGTGAGAGGTAAATGCTTTCAAACTCCCAAAAGTCTAAAGCTCACTCTTGCAATAAAAGTTATTTTCAATGCCAAGTCATGGGACACTATCTGGGTGTAAATTGCACAAAAGTGCCTCTTACTTATGTCACAGAGTGAATTATAATTAATTAATTAATATTACTAATTATCATTCATATCATATCTTATTATAATAAGGCATCATTATTTTATAGTAACTAGTGAATTCCGTCGTCACTACGGAATTTACTACGTTCATTCAATACCTTGTTCATTCATTCATTCATTTATACGGGTGAGTGGTCAGTGAGAGTATTCGGGTGTGTGAGTGGTTAAACAGGTTTTTCTATGTCTCCTGCACATTCGCGCCAATACTAACTTCTCGAGCACTCCAACCTTAGACCTTGGGGAGGGAAGACTTTCTCTCCCCCAACACAACTTTATATCTTACGATATTGTGGCATTAAGTCTAGGATTACGGTAAGAAATAATTGTTAAATTATTTCTTAGTATTCAAGCATTAATCAGTATCTTTTTGATCATTTTATTTATCTTAGTGAATTTCTAAATTATCTAAATTCTTAAGATTAAATTAATTCGCGTGTGTGTGTGAGGTGAGAGATATTAAATACAGTTTATATTATATTTCAGGTCACCTTCTTCTTTTTCTGTATTAAGTATAAAATATATAAAAGACATCGAACCCAGCAGCCGTGTTGTGTTTATTTCTACAACTACAATTTCTACTATACCTAGAGAAGGCTGTGACACTTAATTAGGAACCCAATCCCTTTTCATGTCCCGCGTTTCCTCACTTCACAATTAATGGTTTTTATGAGGAAAAGATGAGAAACTTAACCTTTTAATTGTTGCCAAAAGGACACCGTTAATTTTTATTAATTTAAAATGTGTAACAAATTCCATAAAATGTTTATATTAGCATTTCATCAATCTAACAAACAAAATAAAAAGAGGTCCATGGGCAACATTATTGAGAAGAAAAGTTTATGAAGATCATTTTTCATATATCACAAAACAAATATTTTACAACATACCCCCTTAAAATTGCAATTCAAAGCTCTAGATCTACACTTGTATTATCATAGCTTTGTTTGTCAGCAAGGAAGACTATGTCTTGATGTATGTATTGATCTTTCATTTCAGGTGAGCAATAAACTAAATACATCCGATCTAAAACTAATTATGAATTTTCATTTTTACCATGCATGTACATGTCGGGAGCACACACAGCTACCAAGTTTTTCTTTGTCCTGTTCCTAACACACAAAGCTTGTTCTGAATTGTTACACTTGTCCTGAATGGCTTGTGTGCCAGCTGAGCACTCTTCTCCTGCCTCCAGAGTTTTGTATACATGTACATGTATGATACTTTTGGTCTTCTCGTTTGTAGATCTTTCTTTAACCTTAAATAACAAGCAAGGTTGACTTTGAAATACATATGTTTTGTTCTTGCTGCAAATATAACTGATCATTGACTTAGATGTATATTGGTATGATCCTGACTATAAATCAGGAGGCTGGGGGTAAAAAAATTTACCATCAGATTTACATATTACCCAATGTTTTTTTGATATGATATCTTACGCTGTCAACTATCATTTGGCCAAAAAAACTTACACACTTTGGTGGCGCAGTATTAAATACCAGTTCCAGATAAATTTTTTGACTTAAGCTAAAGATCTTTCATTATCCTAGCAATTTGAAGTGCAAACAAATTAGCAATAAAGTTGTTTCAAATCAAGTTGTTACAATACATTATCAGTATTACTATCGTTATATACATGTACATACTGTATCTTGTAAATTTACCTCATGATGAATCACATTTAAAACTGTCTGGCTCAAATCCATTCCATTTTTGTGAAGAATATCCTGTAATACACTCTAGCAAGTCATTACAGGGGCTAAATTGTTCACAATTGTTTACAAAACTACCATCAATGAACATTTTTCCTGACATATTCCCTTCTACAAGCTTACATATACCTTATATTCATTTATGTGTACATGTATCATACATGAATATTTCATATGTACTTTAAACTTATTTTGGCTACTGCATCTTGACAAATGCACATACATTGGAAAAAAGTAAACATTCTAAAATCATTTAATTTGCTGGTACATGTAAGCCCTCTTTGTTACAAAATGTGTGTACTATAAGGTTTAAAAACAAGAAGCCTATGAGCAACAACACTCCTCTGAGCAAATTGGCTATAAAATGCCAAAGATTCTTCTACAACACATACTTCATGTGAGACATTCAGTTAACCATGGATAATTTAAGCCATTTCCAATAGGATTTTTTGTGAAATATATAAATTTGTACTTCCTTTTTAAACATTGTTCAAATTGCACTTCTATATGTATTCATTTCGACAATCTTTGTGATGCTGAATATGTATATGTAGACAACAATTAAACTGGCATTTCTTGCCTGCAGGCAGAAATCAACATTCTAGATTGCGTAAACCTACAATATCTTTATAAATTGGAACAAATTTCTCAATCAAATTATAAATTAGGCTATATCATATTCGCAGTACCGTTAAGGCTTCCCGGAGCTGAATATGTATTTATAACGTAACACTGCATTGGAAAGTTGATTTTGAGTTTTATTTGTAAGTTTTGTACTTCAGTACGCCAAATTCATATAGAGAATCCTTTAGGCTATTTATAAACATATTTGTTACGATGTCACATGACCTTCTTGATCACGTGACGGTCATTTCTTCTTTTTGGAAATGTTCCTCATAAATCGCTTCGGCGCAGGCTGTTAACACAATTATTATCATCTTTTTGTCACATAATTAACTCAGTGCATCCTTGTGAAACCGAAAAGTGCTTGGGAAATTTTAAACCTTTTCTTTGGAACAATTTATTTCATATTAACTTTAACTTACCGACAAATCTGAGGGTATTTTCTGCTGAATATCGTCATTTGTTTAAAAACAAGGCCATCATTCATTTTTCCCAAGCAGGATTCATTTAGAGGGGAAACTCCTCTGACATATTCCACAAAAGATATTAGATAAATCTAGCTGCAGATCTGTAGCGTTATGGTTTTATATATTTGTCTTTGACCATAACGCTACAGATCCCATAATGTAAAAAAGTGCAATTTACGGCGCAATATTATTTGCACTCTTTTCCCAACTTTCCAGCATCGGTCAATCAACTACCTTTCAACTCCCAATTCTAAGCACATTATTTAACTAATCTGTGTATTTTATCCATCTCCCAACCCTTTATAGACGTCTATACCAATGATAAACTCCTATGATTAAAATTATTTCTTAGATAACTGAAAGTTCTCTTCAACCGAGTTTATTGCCTGTCGAGACAACTATAAATGGTTGGGAGGTGCATAAAATATATATATTGGCTACAAAATGTGTATAGAATGAGGGGTTGAAAGGTAGTTGATTGACCAATGCTAGAAAAAGGAGAAATTCTCCCCCAAAGAGCGCAAAAAATATTGCGCCGTAAATTGCACTTTTTTTGCACTATCGGATCTGTAGCGTTATGGTCTAAGACATATACATAAAACCATAACGCTACAGATCTGCAGCTAAGATAAATCCTCCTTAACAACCTGCGCCAGGCTCTTTTATACACATATTATGAATTCTGCCTCTGTCCACGGGTGTAAAAAAGGGTAAATGTCAAACGTATATTTCCGTACGTAGTTTGAACACGCTGACTCTTATACAAGAGTAATGAAGCAAAGCTATCTTAATTATTCGGATATATACGACTTTTGAAAAAATTATAAAAAACACCTTTATTTTAAACTAGCATTTTGCAATTTTATATGCAGATTGAAATGAGGTGTAAAGTTTATGACACTCTCCCCATTATTACAGCTCAAGTATGCAGCGGCTTTACGTCATTTTCAATTATGACGTCATAAATTTGTAGTTCAGAGAAGTTCATGTGATGAGTACACTACAATATTCTCTGGGAAGCCTTATCGTACCTGCGTTACAGTTTTTATACTTTCTCTCAATTCATCTATACACCTAAACGTGCTGGCAGCTGATAACGTACCACATTGTTTTCTGCTTGTATATGGATTATTTTTCCACACGCAACATTCACCACAACTACAGAGAATGTTCCAATCAGAAATAATATTCTTAATGTCTTCCATAGAAAACCTGTCAAATATGAAGAGATAGATTATATATCACATATTATATTTGTGTGGAGTTTTTATCAAATACTGTACGTGTCTTATTTCCATTGTTTGTTTTGAATACAGAAGTGTAATATCCGACAACCACAATTTGCACCAATTAACAGATAAATTTGTTGCCCTATTTTAAAATGCACAATTTAAAAATTCGATAAATTAAACAATTGTGAATTTGTTTTCATAACAGTTTATGTATCAGCCAACTAGTAGTAGTTTATTTGTCACACAAATAAATAATACGGCTTAAATAATTCTGTTTAAGAGCTAAATAATAATAAATAAGCCTTTGAATTAAAAAGGATTTTTTTTATATTGCCCAAGTCAAAATGACTTAAGGACAGATGACACTAACAATTTCTTTTCTTTGAAGGAGATTTAATATCATATCACAGGCTTAGAAAAGTGGATAATTCTTTGATAATTTTTCTCAATAGTCTTGGAAAATAAAATAGATTTGAAAATATTGTTAATACACGTACTTCAATAAAATAACAAATATGGACAAATCATACTCAGTAAAGGTTAACGAAGGATAACAAATTTTAGAATATGTTATACATATAGGATTTTGTACAATTTGAAGGTAGTTTTAAAGGGTAATTTGCCTTTAATAATATCAACGACAAAAATTTAATTATCAAGACCGATCAATTTGCAAGAATTCGGAAGAAAAACTGAATATTTCTTTCAATACTTCCTATGAAAAAAAAAATCTGAGATATTTTTACTATCAAAAAGTTAAAATATAAAATGAAGGATAACTGCTTTTGATATGTCATAGGCTACCCATTGTTTAAAATATCTCCAGTTATATATGTTAATGGCAAAAGTATCAAAAATAACCCCAACCCCCACCCATCAATTTGAAAAGGCAACTCTCTGAAAACATCCTTGTACCTGGTGAGAAGCTCATGTCCACAAGAACTTCAGATTTATGAAATTTAGTACCATCATCATTGTCATCCCGTTTGACAGGAGACACTGACAGACAGGCTTCAGTCTCGGTCTCATATTTTACTCCAGATCCAGAGGTTTTCTTGGGTGTAGATCCTGGTATTGTGTGACCTTGCAATGTAGTTAAAATAACAAAACATACATGTACAATGTATTACAATTTAACTGTAAAGAAATTGCTGAAAAGGCTAACATAAAATAAACAAATAAAATGCAAATGTACCCTGAAAACTAAAAAAAAATAGCAAAATAATTGTTCAACTACATTTGTATTTTATGTTAAACTACTCTATCACAGTGTAAAAGAATGGGTTCCCAGAAACTGAAATAAATTAACATTAGGGTATTACTATTTAAGATTAGTCTCAAATTTTGAATACATTGTCAATCAAACCAGTAGTATTAAAGCATGCTTGGTAGGGTTTGGTTTGAACTAATAATTCCATAATTCACATCTCATTCTTTAATCAATTATTTTCATATTTCAAAATGCTCACCTGAGAATATCAGCTAAGAAAAAACACATATCAGATCAGAACTTAAAAATAAGTGGGGGGGGGGGGGGGCTTTAATTTTAACCCCCAAGGTGATCATAATCTGAACGAACTAGAATCTACATTACCTGAGCATGATTCCATTTAAATATTACTAATCATGGCTTTGAATTAATTGAAAAGAAGATTTAACAAGAGGCCCACGGGCCTTATAGGTCGCCTAAGCATTATGCAACAACTTTCCAGTTACAGTGTATTGAATTTGATTCAATAACATGTTTTAAGCCAGATGCTATATGGCATTCACAATTTTGAAAGAGCACCATTGATCATCATAACAATAAACTTAGCAGTCGCTTAGCTTGGTAAACTAAATACCCATATGCAGGGTAGGGGAACAAAAATGCACTCCAACTAATCAGTAATATTCATCAATAATCAGTAGTGCCCCTAACACTCTGACATAAACCCCTGACCCTAGGTTGCACAAATTTTTAAAAGGCACCCTTACAATTGCCTATCAAAAAGTAAATAAATGTTTTATAAATACAAAGGACCAGATTTCAAACAATTAATTCATTTCCAGTATATAAGTATAGCCCCCCCCCCCCCCACCCCTGACCCTGGGGCCTTGAAATTCACAATTCTGCAAGATTAGGGCCCTTGCTCATCATAACTATATAGGTAGTTCATCTGCTTCAAACCCAGAGACAGAGAAGAAAATTTTCAAAGATTTAATGTATTTTCACTATATAATCAATAGAGCCCCACCGTAACACCAGAACCCCTGACCCTGGGGCCATAAAATTCACAATTTTTGTAGAGGCACTCTTTCTTATCATAACTATGCACTTAGTTGGTTTCTTTAATACTTAGGAGCAGAGAAGAAGATTTTCAAAGAATTTATGTAATTTCACTATATAATAAATAGAGCCCCCCCCCCCCCCCCCAACACCAGAACCCTTGACCCTGGGGCCATTAAATTCACAATTTTGGTTGAGGCACACTTGCTTATCATAACTATGCACTTAGTTAGTTTATATAATACCTAGGAGCAGAGAAGAAGATTTTCAAGTAATTCACATATTTTCACTATATAATCAATAGAGCCATCCCCCCCCCCCCCCCACACACACACCCCAGAACCCTTGACCCTGGGGCCATAAAATTCACACTCTTAGTTGAGGAACACTTGCTTATCATCACTATGTACTTAGTTAGTTTATTTGATACCTAGGAGCAGAGAAGAAGATTTTCAAAGAATTCATGTATTTTCATTTTATAAACAATAACGTCCCCCCCCCCCCCCCCCCCCCACCAGAACCATTGATGCTGGGGCCATAAAATTCACAATTTTTGTAGAGGCACTCTTGCTCATCATAACTATGCACTTAGTTAGTTAATTTAATACCTAGGAGCAGAGAAGAAGATTTTCAAAGAATCAAAGTAATTTCACTATATAATCAATAGAGCCCCTCCCCCCCCCCCCAACACCAGAACCCTTGATCCTGGGGCCATAAAATTCACAATTTTGGTAGAGGCACTCTTGCTCATCATAACTATTTTCTTACTTGGTTTATTAAATACCCAGGGGCAGAGAAGAAGATTTTCAAAGAATTCATGTATTTTTACATATATATAATCAATAGAGCCCCATCCTAACACCAGAACCCCTGACCCTGGGACCATAAAATTCACAATTTTTGTAGAGGCACTCTTGCTCATCATAACTATGCACTTAGTTAGTTAATTTAATTCCTAGGAGCAGAGAAGAAGATTTTCAAAGAATTCATGTAATTTCACTATATAATCAATAGAGCCTCCCCCCCGAACACCAGAACCCTTGACAATGGGGCCATAAAATTCACAATTTTGGTAGAGGCACTCTTGCTCATCATAACTATGCACTTAGTTAGTTTATTTAATACCTAGGAGCAGAGAAGAAGATTTTCAAAGAATTCATGTAATTTCACTATATAGTCAATAGGGGGGGGGGGGGGGCCGGGCCCCCCCCCCCCCCCCCCGCCCCCCACCACCACCACCAGAACCCTTGACCCTGGGGCCATAAAATTCACAATTTTGGCAGAGGCACTCTTGCTCATCATAAATATTTACTTATTTGATTTATTAAATACCCAGGGGCAGAGAAGAAGATTTTCAAAGAAATCATGTATTTTTACTATATACTTATTTAGCCCCGCCCTAGCACTAGAACCCCTGACCCCAGGGCCATGAATTTCACAATTTTGGTAGAGGACTCAATGCTGATTACAATCATGCAAATAGTTTGACTGCTTGATGTCAAGGAGTAAAGAAGAAGATTTTTAAAGACTGCATTAATTTGGGTGGTTTTGGCCCCACCCCTCAGGCCCCAGGGGGGCAGGAATCATGAAATTCACAATTTTTGTTCCCCTTCACCCATAGATGCTTTGTGCCAAATTTGGTTGAAATTGGTTCAGTGGTTGCAGAGAAGAAGCTGAAAATGTTCAAATGTTAACACACGACACACGACGACAGACGAAAACTGATAGCAATAGGTCACCTGAGTTTACTCAGGTGACCTAAAAAGGTTTCCCTATATATTTCTATGTACTAAAACTTTGGTCGGCCATTTTGGCCACACCCTTACCCCGGGGTCATGATATGAACAAACTTGAATCTACATTACCTAAGGATTATTTCACATGAGTTCCATCTTTCCTGATTCAATGCTTCTTGAGAAGAAGATTTTAAGATTTTTCATACATATTCCTATGTAAAACTTTGATAGGCCATTTTGGCCCCGCCCTACCCCCGGGGGACATGACTTGATCAAAATTGAATCTACACTACCTGAGGATAATTCCACATGAGTTTCACCTTTCCTGGCCCAGTGGTTCTTGAGAAGAAGATTTTTAAAGATTTTTCCTATATATTCCTATGTGTAACTTTGATCAGCCATTTTGGCCCCGCCCATCCCCTGGGGGTCATGACTTGAACAAAATTGAATATACAATGCCTGAACATGATTCCACATGAGTTTCATCTTTCCTGGCCCAGTGGTTCTTAAGAAGAAGATTTTTAATTAAAGATTTTTCCTATTTATTCCTATGTAAAACTTGATCGGCCATTTTGGCCCCGCCCTACCCCGGGGGTCATGGCTTGAACAAATTTGAATCTGCACTACCTGAGGATGATTCCACATGAGTTTCATCTTTCCTGGCCCAGTGGTTCTTAAGAAGAAGATTTTTAAAGATTTTTCCTTTATATTCCTATGTAATACTTTGATCGGCCATTTTGGCCCCGCCCTTCCCATGGGGGTCATGACTTGAACAAACTTGAATCTACACTACCTGAGGATAATTCCACATGAGTTTCATCTTTCTTGGCCCAGTGGTTCTTGAAAAGAAGATTTTTTAAAAATGAAGATTTTCAAAGATTTTTCCTATATATTTCTATGTAAAATTTTGATTCCCCATTGCGGCCCCGCCCTTCCCCTGGGGGTCATGATTTGAACAATTTAGAATCTACATTATACCAGGATGCTTCCACATAAGTTTCAGCTTTTCTGGCCCAGTGGTTCTTGAGAAGAAGATTTTCAAAGATTTTTCCTATATATTTCTATGTAAAACTTTGATTCCCCATTGCGGCCCTGCCCTTCCCCCGGGGGTCATGATTTGAACAACTTTGAATCTACACTATACCAGGATGCTTCCACATAAGTTTCAGCTTTTTTGGCCCAGTGGTTCTTGAGAAGAAGATTTTCAAAGATTTTTCCTATATATTTCTATGTAAAAGTTTGATTCCCCATTGCGGCCCCGCCCTTCCCCCGGGGGTCATTATTTGAACAATTTAGAATCTACATTATACCAGGATACTTCTACATAAGTTTCAGCTTTCCTTGCCCAGTGGTTCTTGAGAAGAAGATTTTCAAAGATTTTTCCTATAAATTTCTATGTAAATCTTTGATTCCCCATTGTGGCCCCGCCCTTCCCCTGGGGGTCATGATGTGAACAATTTAGAATCTACACTATACCAGGATGCGTCCACATAAGTTTAAGCTTTTCTGGCCCAGTGGTTCTTGAGAAGAAGATTTTCAAAGATTTTTCCTATATATTTCTATGTAAAACTTTGATTCCCCATTGCGGCCGCGCCCTTCCCCCGGGGGTCATGATTTGAACAATTTAGAATCTACATTATACCAGGATGCTTCCACATAAGTTTCAGCTTTTCTGGCCCAGTGGTTCTTGAGAAGAAGATTTTTTAATGACCCAACCCTATTTTTGTCTTTTCTTGATTATCTCCCCTTGCGAGGGGATATGTCCCCTCATTTTAACAATTTAAATTCCCCTTCACCCAAGGATGCTTTGTACCAAGTTTGGTCAAAATTGGCCCAGTGGTTCTTGAGAAGAAGTCGAAAATGTGAAAAGTTTACAGACGGACAGACAGACGGACAGCTAGACGGACAGACAGACGGACGGACGGACGGACGACGGACAAAATGTGATCAGAAAAGCTCACTTGAGCCTTCGGCTCAGGTGAGCTAAGAAGTTAACGCACACCGCACGACGCACACCGCACAAATGGCCATAGCATTAGCTCTTTGAGCCTTTGGCTCAGAAGAGCTAAAAATCTATAAAACAATTGTGAATTTGATTGTTTTCATAACAGTTTATGTATCAGCCAACTAGTAGTAGTTTATTTGTTGCACAAAAAAACAATACGGTTTAAATAATTCTGTTTAAGAGCTAAATAATAATAAATAAGCCTTTGAATTAACAAGAGGCCCATGGGCCACATCGCTCACCTGAGAAGCTTTGACCATTCTGTTCTTTACCAGATTTCCCCCTTGTTATACATAATGCATCCCCACCCTACCCCACTGGTCATAATTTAGACATTTTGAAATCTACACTACCCCATGATCCTTCCAGGGGCACATATGTTTCATCTTTTTTGGCCCAGTGGTTCCTGAGAAGAAGATTTT